GAACCTTGATCCCTGCAGAGGGGAGAGGGAGCCCGAGAGGAGAGAGGGAGACAGATGGGGGAGATCAAGAGTCACTTTAGTCTTCCTCCTCCTCCAGCCAAGGGCAGATGATTAACTCCTCTTCAAATGTAATTATTTCGTTCTGGCAAGGACAGAGTGGTCCACACAGAGATCCTGTTGGCGGACAGTTGTTTCAAAGCCAAAGAGGTAGAAGGGAGCAGGCAGAGTGGAGACAGAGAATTATGCTAGGATAAGTAATTTTCTTCTTAAGATGTTAGAAGAAGAAATATTTACAAGGAGTGGATGGGAGGGGGTGGCAAGCGGAGATATTCAATTACAATGAAATATTGGGAGAGTATTCGTTACCTTGAAGGGGCTCCTTAACACCCATGCAGTTATTAATGAAAATTATATTTATGAAATGCTTTACTGCCAATATCTTGTCATTGATTCATAGCACAGGAGAGCTGAAGGGCTTTAGAGATCAGTCAGACTCAACCCCTCATTTCTGTACAGGAAGACGAGGGGCCGGGAAGTCACGTAACGGTAGGAACATCATCACTGTGCTGAGTGCTTTCCAAGCCGGCGGCGTGCCGCAGCTGTACTCTCTACCCCTGACGTGCCGTTAACGTTACTTCCCGACCCTGGTGGTGGGACCCTGGTGGGGCTGCTGTATCCCACTGCACAGCGGAGAGAACTGCGGCTCGGAGGCTTGATCGCTTCTGCAAAGTCACACAGGTAGCAAATGCTGCGTAAGGGACTTGAACCTGGTCAGCCTGACGCCAAGGCCCGCCTTCTCTCTGTGTCTCTAAAAGGGAAAGGAAGGCAAAGAGGCCCCAAGGACTGCCAGGACCGCCAACTGGTGACAACCCTGTGCCCAGAGCACCCACATCTTAACTCCCCGAGGAGGGCTTTTCCCACTTTCCCAGAAGAGGCCGGGGTTTTCCTCTCCGCCTCTGGCTGGTTGGCCGGCCACCCCTTGCATATGCTGTTCCTAGAATTAATGATTGCATCGAGGCCCTCGGCCTCCAGCGGTCAGGATTCCCAGACTCCCCAGCATCTGCCACCATTTGGCCAGAATTCACATATAGAAAGTTATTTCCTTTTTTAGCCAGTAAGTGCTCTTGGCTGCAGCAGTGGCTCCTGCCGGGTCTTGGCTGGCCAGACAACAGGCTCGGGCGCTCCACCCATGTCAGATCACAACGAGAGCCCTGGGGACAGAAACAGTCAGGTGGTGGGGCTCCTGGTTCCTGGGGAACCTGCCTCCATCGCGCTCTGGTTGTATGACGGTAGGCAAGTCACTTAGCCTCTCAGTTTCCTCCTCATCTAAAAGAGGTGGTGTTTACTCAGGGACTTAAAATAGCATGTGAGTAGGTGGAAGCATCTAGAACACTCTGGCACATAGTAGACACTCAATTATGTTAGTTCCTTCTTTTCTTTTTCTGCCACTTACAGTCAAAACTCCTCCCAAACATGATCCAGCTGTCAGCTCGATGCAGCATTTGAGAGGCCGCCGGCTGCTGGGAGGGACGCAGGGGCACCTGCCACGTGCCACCGGCTGGGGGCGGGGGCGAGCAGAGTGGGGGGAGGTGGGAAGGATAGTAACTGGACTATGAATCAGCTACTGCACTAGGCATGGAGAGGAGAGGCCGGGGTGGCGAGGACGGGAGGGGTGGGGTCCCGCTACAGTCGGGCCCCTCTCGGTCTTGTAATCAGACCAGTCTGCTCCCGAACCTTCCTGTGACTCAGGCGCTGGGGCCTGGAGATGGACTCTGTACGCATCCACGCTATAAACTGTGTGCCTCGTGTGACTCCTTCCCCCTGTGGAGCCACAGCTCCATGGAGTCGGGTCCCTAGTCCAAGGGCACCTCCACCAGGGTAGGTTGGAAGCTGGCTCAGTTCTACTCAGAAGAGAAATAGGAGGTCGTCTGCTCTGTGATCCAAGGAGAAGAGGCGTCCTGACCCCAACCACATCTGCCCTCTCTGGGAGTTCTGAATCATGAAGACACTCTTTCTGTTTCCAGCTATCTCTTTGTGACTCTAGACCAGACACTCCCCCTCCCTGAGCCCCCGCTCACTCGTGTGTAAGACAAAGTGGTCGAGCTGGCGGGGTGCTCAGGCCCTTCCTTCCAGCTCTCAGGTGGAACATCTGGGGAGGTTGCGACTCACCCAGTTGTCATAGTACAGCGAATTAGGGGCAAAGCCAAGAGGCAAATCCAGGTTTTCTGACTCCCAGCTTAGAGGTCAGCATAAGTCACCCAGAAAAAAGAAAACCTGTGGTCATAAAAACCAAGCAGTACCCTCACGGAATTTCACATCGGGGGAGCCTTCGCGGCGGAAAGTCCTTTGCATTGATGAGACTCAATTCCAAGGGACCCGGGCTGAGGGCCAGGTGGCCCGGACTCTGCTCGGTTACTCTGTTGCTCTTTGAGCACCTACTATGTGACGGCCGTTTAAAATGCAGTGTCTTATCTAATCTTCATAAACCTTTGCAAGGAAGGTATTTATTAATCTCTTTAGCAGAAGAAGAGACTGAGGATCAGAGATACGAAATAATTTCACCCAGGTTTACGCAGCTGAACCTCTAACCCGAACGTGAGTCCAGGTGCCCAGGCCCTGCCTGCTGCCTGGGCCCTGAATCCGATAAACTCCAGGATCCCTTGGCAGTATTTCAAGACCTCTGACTCTGAGGCCTCCAGACTCCCTTTCCTTATGAAGGTGAGTGGACTATTAAAGACTGAATCTGTCTTGCCTACGACTTGCTGATTCACAAAGTGGAGTCAAGCTGTCATTTGCCAGGAGTCAGCCTAGGGGACCGGAGCTTTCCTGGAAAAGAGGGCATCTCTGCCCTTGGGTCAGCTCAACCCTTGAGCCCGGGTGGGGCCAGCTCTCCCCCGGGGGGCGAGGTCTTTCCTGGGACAGAGGGCAGAGCCTGGGCCGCAGGTCTCCCTGGCCCTGGGGTCGGCAAGTCTTCTAGCTCCTGTCCCTACTGAGCCACACAGACAGGCTCCCTGTCCTGTTTTAACTGGCTGGGCCCAGAGGTGGGATGAGTCAGCACCCAAGAGGCCAGGCTGCACGGTGGAAGCCCAGAACCTTCCCCTGCCTGTGTCCCGCGTCCCCAGCAGCCAGCGGAAGTGAGGAGGGGAGGTGGGCAGGTGGTGTCCCTGCCGGAAGACAGGACCGCAGACATGTGTACTTGCAAGAAGCAGGGAGGCTTGGGGAGAAACGGACGCTCAGAACACAGCGGCGAGGACGGCAGGCAGAAGGGAGCGAGGTGAGAGCGCACAGAGCGGGGTGTCCTCCCGCCTGAACTGGCCCAAAGCACGGCGTCGCCTCCAACAAATCACGGCGTCGCCTCCAACAAATCACATCCCTCTTCTAGGCTGGGTTTGCCTTATCTGTCAAAGAAGAGGTTGGCCGGCCTTCTGGAAACCTCCTCCAGTTCTAACGGCCTAGAGCTCTGGGGCAGCACCTGGAGGGGGCGGGAGGGAGGCGGCTGGAGGTAAGAATGGCGACCATCTCAACAGCCCAGCAAGAACGCCTCTGGGGAGGCGGCGGCCAAGCAGGGCAGCGCGGCAGCGCCACTGCGTGACTCTGGGCTCCATCTGTGTGGGAGAGGGCGCGCCCCCGGGGTGCCCGTCCCAGGGGGGCCTGCCACGCGTGCTGTGGCAGCATGGCAGCTGCTGAGAGAGGG